CTTATTCTTATAGTATTATCTCTTGATCTTTAAAAAGTGAAAAAATAGGCCTGGCCCGGTTGCATAGTGGTTAAGTTCATGCTCTCCTCTCCATCCACCAGGGTTCACAGGATTGGATCCCCCGCATGGACCTAGCACCACTCGTCAAGCCGTGCTGTGACAGCATCCCACGTAAAATGAGGAAGACTGGCAACAGATGTTAGCTCAGGGCCAATCTTCCTCACAAAGAAATAATAAAAATAAATCAAAAAATAAAAAATAAATATTGCACTCATTGAAGAAGTGCGTAGTCAAATATTAAGTTTTGGTAATGGCATTCCAAACCCCTAAGTAAAGAACATGATCTCTTGTTCACTACTTAATCTTCAGAACCCAGAACAATGCCTGTAACTTGTGGGCAGTTGGCAAATAAATGCTAAATGAATGAATGGAAAACCAAAATCTCACTCTTATATAATCCTTAATTTTTTTACTTGATAGTGAATATTAAAAGTACATCATTAAAACATTTCAAGATAATTCTTTTCTAGTCACAAAGGCATGAAGCTCTAAGATTCTTTCTTGTTTATCCCAAATGATCTCCAAATTATGGCATCTTCAGGAATCACTTTTCTCAAGTCATTTCAGGGAAAAGTATATTTTCCCCCAAGCTCTTTCATTGGTCTACCGAAAAAACCCTCCAGTATCTGCTCTTTGTTAATAGGAATTCTCAGTAAAACTGTCAAGTAGAGGCAACCTACAGATTACACTTGAGCTTCATGAAAAATACAGAAATCAACCACCAATAATTAGCAGCCTCACATAAGCTTTGTAGCATCCGCTTTGAGTCTCATCTAACTGTATCTAATCCCACATCAGTAGGCTTCCCAAGCCTTTGCCTAATGGAAGATTTTATCGTAAGTCCATCAAAATGGACTATGAGAGAGTTATTTTTTCTTCCTCATCCCTTCAAGGCATTTTAATCCTTTCCTTTTTTAAGAATTGACATTTTGCTTTGTTCTTCTTTGATATTTGTCAAAGTGATGACCGTTAGCCAAACTAGACAATACCAGGAGCTAAGAACGAAACTAAATGCTCAGTAAATATACCAAGTGATATACTTATTTATTGTAGTCTTAGTTATTCTGCACCTAACTACTGCTTTTCTCTTCCACGTTTTCCAGGTTATAGAACCTTTAAAATAGTAATGTCTATGGATGAAATGATTTCATTTAAGTGTGACATAGTGAAAATCTGGTAATGTTCTTATATTTTAATATTTTTAAAATTTTAATAACTTTACATTTTATATTTTTAATAAATACCTAATGAACTCTAGCATAGGGTAAATGGACATACTCTGGTCTAAAATGCGGGAAAACTCATTTAGGAATATCATGTAATTTAGGAAACTGGTTATAATCCAATTTCCAGATAGTGATCTTTAATCTTATAATTATTTTTCTTTCAATTATTGCTTAAAGATTTGCTACTATTGTGGGATATTGAGACCATAACAGTAATTCAGAAAACAACTTAAGGGTTATAGGGAATTCTTTGTTACTCCATAGTGAATATTAAAAGTACGGAAACAAAACCAAGATACAATAAAACACAAATTGCCATATTACTTACTTTGTTATGCCAATAAATTAGGATATCAAGAACTAAGGTTTCAGAGGTACAATGGTAATATGTCTAAATATCTGAAATTTTAAAATTTTATTATATAACAGATGGATTCCATTTTTTTTTAAATTGCAGATAAATTTGTTTTGTTTCTCCCAGTGGAGATTTTTGAGTATTTAATTAAAGGCCTCATTGCCCCATCATTAAATTCAAAGGAGCATATCTAATGTGAACACTTAAATGTAATGTCACTCATTAGTCTTTAATGAAGAGAAACTTATTCTTTCTCTAAAGAACAGCTATAAAAATAGTATCTGTCACCTACAAAATTATATATTCCCAAGATTATTAATGTGCATTTAATGACTTTGAAATATGTCTTTGTAACAGTTATTATGCATGTTTCTTTCTTTTTGGCTTCATCTATAAAAGAGGTTAATTGAAGTCAGAAAGCCTGGAATTCTCACATGCCCCAGGACACCCGTCTGAAGCAGAAATTGAGTTTTTCCACATACCTGTAACAGATTTGGCATGAGGCTGTTTGACTTTCTATACCACACATTCTCTTATTGGTCTTGTGCCTTGATAGCAGATTTCATAATGCCTCAGTCATAAAATCTGTCATTAGACAGTTAAAATTCATCTGGAGCTCTCTTTCCTAGGATCTAGTCAACAAGAAAATTGATTTTAATGTCTATGCCATTACCTGACTCTGCAAGATGGAACTCAGAATAAAGTAAGGTGGATTGCTGTTGATTGACTAGTGTCATATCACCATCATCACCATTACCATTATCATCACCATCATCGTCACAATCACCACTAACTCTGCCATTCTTGAAAAGCGTATTTAGATCTATTATATACTGAATTCCTACATTCTATGTATTTGACCACTGGGCCATGTTAGCACTCTAAATCTTTCTCTTTTTCTTTTTTCCTTTTAAAGACAAAGCGGTAATTGGTTCTGCTGACACTCAGCAAAACATCTAGACAAATCTTTTTCAAAGTCAATCAATTATCCATGCCTATTCAAGTATCCTTATGTCTGACTTTGGTAAACTAAGCATCTGTATTTTTCATTGAACTTTTTAGAGTTCATCTAGGAGACTTAGTAGCATGTAGGTACTATGTTATGTTGTATTTTTTCAAGTATATTACTACCTTGTTAAAACACAATTCATCATAAAGCAAAATTCAATATTAAGTGCCTCCTCAAAGTGCATCCAACATGCTTTAATTACAGAAGCAACTAAAGTATTTCAAGGCAGACATATTTGCATACGTACTGGTTGCATGGCATAACTCCAAGAATGAAAAAGTAGCTTTATCCTATTTATTTATTCATTCAACAAATATTTATTTAGTCTCTCCTGTGCCACAGTGCTATGTTCTAGAGGTACAATAGTATAGACTCTCATATTTGTGTATATAAATACATATATTTCACAAGTCTAATTTTGTGTTTTTCCCTATATTGGGAAAATATTGTTCTTTATACTCTAAACACTTCATACTTTTTTCTTACAACAGAATATGAACTACAATAATATAAGTAAGTGTGTTACTTCTGGAACTATTACCAACACTCAACAAAAAGAGTTAAACCTTATGTCTTACACGACTTTCATAATCCAACTACTCCACCACATTGCACAAGATTATATGCAGAGGGTATTCAAAAATATTCATTGTTTATTTGTCTGAATAAAGGGAGTAAGACAAAGTGTCTTTATTTTCAAGGTAATTTGGATGTTTAAATTTTCCTTAGAGCCACTTTGACACATCGAGTTTTCAAAAAACAATGTAAAAGTTTTACAGCTACTCTACTTAATTTATCTATGTTATTAAATATTTTTGAAATATGTGCTCTATGTAAGGCTGATCTTCCTGAAAGCCTTTCCTCTGGCACCATTCTCCACCTTCCCCACCTTCTTAGCCCCAAGCCATCCACATCAAAGAACTTAATATCTGGAAAATATACTCATGTTTTAAGGCTCTGCTAAAAATTTACTTTCCCTGTTAAACTTCCCCCTGATACTTCCCCTTGTACAATTGAGCACCCCTTATTTTGTTTCCCCACTGTATCTTGTTTTAGTTTTATGTCACAATAATGCAATCTTTTCATTGTATTATTTGTTTACAAGTATTTGTTGGTAGTGCCATTGATTCAGTTCTAACTCCTAGCGACCCTGTGGACAGCAGAGAGGAACTCTGCCTGATCTTTTTGCACCATCCTCTCACCTTCCAGTGCTGTGTCAGACAATGCTTCACTGCTCTTCATAGGGTTTTCATGATCAATTTTTTCAGCTGTTTACAAGGATAACCTATATAAAGCCAGGTAGCCTCACTGTGCTGCCTCAAATATAGCTGTATTCAGAATATAATTCTACACTAAAAGATCATTAAAAATAAATTACTTTTATACTCAGTCTCCTGGGGGCAATGTCAAAAGGAAAATTGCATTTCTAAAACATATAGAATTTTTAAAAAATCTGTTGCTCTGATCTTTTGTAATATTCAGTGTCTTATTTACAGGACTGACAATGTCAAAGAACTGTTTTTGTCAAAAGTCAAATAAGTAAGACATTCTAAGTTGCTAGAGATGATGAGAACATAGTTGCAATGACTGATCATGGGGCTGAAAAATAGAAAGGTGGTTGATAGGAAGAATACAATGAGTTTATATGGTTTGGAAACCTGGATCTGTACTGTCACTTATTCGTCAAGATTCTTTGTTGACATACGACATAAATTTAATTCAGACTGCCTTGGCTGTGTTACTGTTAAGTCTAAGTACAGTCTTCAGCCATGGTTGGATCCAGATGCTCACATAATGTTATCAAGAATTATGTGCTGGGGCCGGCCCCGTGGCTGAGTGGTTAAGTTCATGCACTCTGCTTCCACAGCCCAGGGTTCGCCATTTTGGATCCTGGTGTGGACCTAGCACTGCTCATCAAGCCATGCTGAGGCAGCATCCCACATAGAACTAGAAGGACCTACAACTAGAATACACAATTATGTACTGGGGGGCCTTGGGGAGGAAAAAAAAGAAGTATGTGCTGATTTCATTCTTAGCAGGGCTTTTTTCCTACAGCAGCCCCTAGAACTTGAGGTCTACATTCAACCAGCTTAACAACTCTTGTGGAAAGAAATCTCTTTCCCAAAAGTCCCACAAGAGTTACAGCGTTAAACCTTATTCCCAAGCTTGGGACACCTAAATTAGGACTATGACTAGCTAAGAGTGGGTCCCATCAGTATCCCAGGAGGTGGAGATTTGATCAGGGCCATCTGAACTGCAGGACTGAGAGTAAAGGTGGAAACCAACAAGGTGTCAGCAAAAGAAGGGAGAGATGGAGGCTGATCAGGCAAAACAACAAATGTGCACTCACCTCACATCAAACAAAATATGCTGTAGATGGATAGTCTTGTTTTACAAAGGTTTTCATGCTAAAAGACCAAATGGAGCCCGTAAGATAAAAGGACACATCATCAATCATCTTCAGAAACTTTTCACATTTCAAATTTTCAGAAATTCACTTTCCTTTCAATTACATTTTCATATCAACAGTATGAATTATATCTTCTGAAACCTTTGTTGCCCTGCTCTATTGACTAAAAAGAGCAAATAACTCACAAGAAATAGCCTTCCTCTCTCCCCACCTTTCTGTAGTCTATATCTCTACATGCATATAGATCATATATATGGTGCATTTCAATTCTTCTCAGAGTTCCCATTAAGGAGAGTGAGTATATATGGTATCACTTCAAAGAGCTCAGTGAATTTATTGCACTTTTCACTTGGCCTAATTTGCTTTCCATCTCCTGCTTCCTCAGTGCTCTTCCAAGAATGGATGTGTGTGCACAGAGTCTCTGCATGTGTAAACATTTCCCTCTGACACCTCTTATGTGTGGAAATTGCTTTACATTTGAAAGCTTTTTCTCCTTCCCTGCTCTCCTCCCTCATTTATGTCCAATTTCTCTCTCCTGGCACTCTGCTCTACAATCTCAAAGACATTCTTAAGACTTCACCATTTGTAAGTGGACCCCAATTCAGCCCTGCTTCTTCAAACACTCACCATTTTCTTTTTCTTATACTCAATACCATCAAAATTCTTTAGAAACAGTCTGCTCTCAGTTTGTCTGTTACCTCCAACCCCATTCATTTTTAAAATCTATCTCACAGCCTGACTTGTTGGCCCATCCGTTGCACCGAGGCTGCAGTGTTGTTCACACTGATGACCAATAGCTCAGGTGTAAGGCCTTCATGTCCATTTTCTGTTAAGACTCACTTTCCAACCAGCTCCCTGGTTCTACCATTCTAAAGAGGTTATAGTCTCATAAATTATCAGTGACAAAAAATCACCAAGTACAATGCTTATTTTCTGTCCCAATATGCCTGCTTTTTAAATAACAATAGCAATGTAAAATTGTATCTATTAGGGAAGACTAATGATCTTTATTACATGTCTCCTTCCCTTAAGATCATGACACTTGGAGCACAGGGATCATTTATTTGTTCCACACTTTTGTATATCCAGCCCCAAGCACAATGTCTTCCACGTAGTAACCTCTCAATCACAATTCGCTAAAGGAATAAAGTGAACAAACATTTTGTCTAGCACATAATACAGCAGGGTCGGCTGTCCATACAAGGAGTTAGATATCTGTAAAGACTTTCCAGTCTTAGCACTAATTCTAGTTCTTCCACTCACCTTCTACAGAAGCAACATGGCAATTTCTTCATCAGATACACATGTAACTAGTGGGGCAATGTTTGTTCTACATATGAGGCAACTTTTAAAAACAGATAATACAAACCTTGTGGTATCCTTCCACCAGCATTCTGCTAAGATTAAAATGACATTTTGGGAAACCCTAGAAAGAAAATGATACAGAATTAAATAAGAAGGGGACATATTTTCCTTAGCAACTACTGTACTTTAAAAATGACACAGGGGCCGGCCCCATGGCCAAGTGGTTAAGTTCACACGCTCCACTTTGGTGGCCCCGGGTTTTGCCAGTTTGGATCCTGGGCACGGACATGGCACCACTCATCAGGCCATGCTGAGGTGGCGTCCCACATAGTACAACCAGAGGCACTCACAACTCGAACATACAACTATGTACTAGGGGGGCTTTGGGGAGAAGAAGGAAAAAAAAAATATTGGCAACAGATGTTATCGCAGGTGCCAATCTTTAAAAAAAAAAAAAGAATGATAGTTCACAATCTCTTGAGTAACTAACATCAGTAAGAGTTGGAGTATGCTATAAGACAAAGTAATTTTGTTCATGTCAGAAATGTGACTTATTACTCTAGAAGTACCTGTTGCATCGTTCTCTCTTACTCACTGATTTACTGTACAAGTTCATCCGTTACACTTAGGAGCTTGATCTTTCTTTCTACTTAACACACACAGCAAGTCTTAACACTCAGAGGAAAGAACCCTGCAATTTGAGCTGCCACGCTTTCCATTAAACCAGTTACCTGATCTTGCTTAGATTCATAAGTCAAATGGAAGTCAAGAATGGAAGAGAAAGGAAAGGAATCAGAAACAGTTTCTCATCAAACTAATTCCTAAGATACTCTGTATTTTTTGTGGAGTGTTGAAGTTGCTGTAATACAGTCACATCTCTTTTTGCCAGACCAAGGCCTTATTGAGCTGAACATTCTTGATGGCCACTGGTTCCATTTTTGTGTTACCATATTGATATGCCCCGTTATGCTCCAGATACCTGCATTATTAAAATTCATATTTGCTTCTACTTAAAAAGAAAAAAGCAGTAAGAAAAGGAACTTTGAGTTTTGCTGCAAAACTATGGCTGAATCTCAATTGTGTGCTATCATTCATGATTAAATCATTTGTATGCAGTTTAACTGAAGTGTATCTTTACGCTAAATGTACAAAGTCCATTTGGGGGCCAGCCCTCAATATTGAGGTAAAAACAAGAGAAATCAATTCATGCATGCACTGCTGAATAAACAAACACTTGTTTCTAAATTATTCCTAAACAGCTTCTACTTCCGGTTCTCACTGTCACCTTCTCCAGTAGTAATGTGACCCATTTGCTAAGTGTTGACAGATGTGTAGCCCATGTGATGATGCTTGTAATTCTAATGTATCATCTAGCCTCTGCAATGCCAGGCATGACGCAAGAAATTTATAGTCTCTTGTTAAGGGGTTGCCTAGACACTGTACTTTGTAAATTTCAAACTTAGCAGTTCTTGAAAAGATAACAGTATTCCCTAACTTGCTAAGTTAAATTTTTCTTTGCCATAACTTTGCTGTGATGCTCTGGTGTTCTCAGCTGTAGATGACATGGGACATAGGTGTACAGAGTTGGCACAGTTTTTCTCGATGTGTCACTCAGAACACCAGAATTACACATCTTTCAATCCATCAGCAAAATACTAAGCACACTGCTCTATGATAGGGGAACATACTGCAAAGATCCTCCTTGCCCTCGGATGGAACAGAAATTTTGTATGGAAGATGCACAATACACATACAAAAAACAAACCCAGTAACAGCACTAGGCCATAGATTAAGTGCTAAGAAGTGATAGGGAGAGCAAGTGCTAATGGACTTCATAGGAGAAAGATCCGTTTTTGAACATGTATTGACCAGAAACAGGGCTAAAGTGATGTTTGAAATCAGATGGTGACTAATTAAAAGGAACAGAAAGTCATAGGTACATGAAATAGTGTGAACAAAGAAAAAAAATGGAAGCAGCAATTCTAACAGCTAACTTTTGAGTATTGACTCTGTGCCAGGTGCAGTACTAAATGTTTTCTGTGGAAACTCATAAGAGAGAAATTAAAGATGCACTTTAATAAGCTTTAAATAATCAATAAGGTGACCCAGATTTAATTCCTGGTTCTGCCAGCATGTGATCTTCTACCATGCTAAGATCTTTCCCTCATTTTTTCATTTGGCCAAGGAATGGTCCGCACTAGGCATTCTTGAAGGCTCTTCCTGCTCCAAATTATATGTGAAAAGGTCAACACAGAAAAAATGATTAATATCATAATAAAAATGGACAGAAAATGATTGTTAGACCATTGGGGTTTTAGCACAAAGACACTAGGATCATTTAGTTGTTATATACCATGTTCAAGGCATTTTAACAAGTCACCTCATTTTCTTTACACTTGAATTTTGTAAAAACTAAGGTCCTGACCAACACCTATTTATGACTTTACATAAAGGTAAGCCATTCATATACCTATAAGAAAGAGGTAGGTAATGTAAACGAATAAATAATATTGCATAGTGACTATGGTAATCTGGAGAGCAAGTGCTTTGTCTAAACAGAGAAGTCCTTGCAATCATTAGTTCTGTGGGAATGGTGTTGTGGCCTCTGCTTTGCAGTAATTAAGGGAGGACTCAGAAGGATGAAAACAATCATCGTGATTAAGCTGTTCCTGTTTTCTAGGTTCTCTTCCAAGCCCTTTTCTTACACCATCATATGACTGAATGCTGGAAATGTCTCTCTTATTTCTTATTTTAGGTAAGAGGGACTTGAAGCTCCGAGAAGTTATGTAATTCACCCAAATATTTTACTAACATGAAGAAAGGGAGGTGATGTTGAGTTTCAGACTCAGGATAATCTAGCTGTAAAGCCTGTTTTTCTCACTAATATCCAGTGCTGCTTGGTGAGACTAGAAAGCAGTGAAAAGACAATGAAATATAGTAAGATTGGCCATATTTCTCTTCTTGTATTAAATTCTTGAATTAAATCTGGCCGTCTAGGTTCATGTCAAAGAAATGGAAATAATCTAAAAATATATCACATTAAAGCTGAGAAGTAGCAATGGGAATGAATAAAACACAGTTCTGGGGTTCCTTGGGTGGGAAAACTGACATTCATGGGGATTGTGCAGTTCAGTCTATGATCAGAATCTAGCTCATCTACTTCCAATTGCTGTTTCTACTTATGTGCAATCACTTATTTGTTCTTTCCTCCGTGTTATTCAGGGTGGTTCATTCTTTTCTATGTGAAACATCTGCTTGGATCAGAACAGAGTCTCGTCTCAAGGTTACCTTTTTGCTGGTGTTTAGTACCGATTTCTCTGCTTTATAATAATTGCATATTCCCTAATCTTTGTGTTATTTATCTGGCTTCCTTCCCATCCAGTCCTTGGTCACTGCAAACCCTCCCACCAAGCCAGGACTCCTGCTCAATTTCATCCATGGCCACTGACATGCCACTTTCTATCTAATTACTATGAAATCGAAAGGGAATCCCACCTCCAGGGGGCTCCCAAGTGTCCATAGCTTATATCAAAGACTTCAATGAGAAAAAGGTTTGTATTTTCAAGACATACTGGAAGCAGTCTCCAAAGGGTGAATGGAGGTAATTCATCATTAAAATAATGAATTCTTTTTTCTCATCCCCAGTATAGTTAAGAGCATTACAGCATCTAAACCCAGCCCACCTGTTACACATCTTCAGCAGTCAGCTCCTGGGAGCTGATTTTTAGGACTGTAACAATTTTATAATTTGAGCAACTTTAATCAAGATTCTTACCTTGGCAGATGCCATCTTTTTGCCTCAATTTCCTACTAGGCCCTTCTGACAATCTGTTTGTTGAGTTTTTGCCCTTTATTTTATCCCCAAAGATTTCTTGTTTCTTGTGTGCCTCTATATTAATATCTAACAGCTGTTTGTCTGTCATGTGAATCTCTTATATAATTAAGACTTTACCCCTCTGCACCATTTATTTTCAAACCTGGGCTATGTTAACATGTTCTGCAGTTTGGAGAAAGTTTCCTCACTGTCATTTCTTATGCATGCTCTAAAATAAAGATCTACTTAATGGACAATGATATCCCATGGCCCATAAATATTAATATGAGTGCCATTAGTTAGAGTGGAATGCATTCATTTGTGAATGTTTTCAAAGAATATAAACGCTAATTCATTTTTACATTAGAGGACGTATTCTTAGCATTTGAAATCATTTTTGCTTAATTGGTATCAGCTACTCTCACATAAATAAGTGAAAAAATGAATTTCTCTCCCCCAGTGACACAAGAGAAGCTGTCTTCTGGTGCCTTCCTAGAACTTGTCACTGATTACTACACTCACAGCTATCCAATTAATGAGAACTGTTTCAGCCAGCACAACATTGAGGTAGAAGTATAGACAGATTGCATGAAGTTTGCTTGTTCTAGAAATCATCTCATTAGATATAATTAAGGTATACAAAAAGGGGGTTCTCAAATTCTATAGCTTCTTGCCAACCAAATATCTCAACCATTCACAAATAAATCTCAGTGGCTACATCACCACTTTAAAGCAATTGGGATCATATTAGAATTAGCAGCTTCGAGTTGATACGCTTTCTCCCACTGAAAGCTTCTGAGATGAAACTAAAATAAAAACAAATAAGAAGTAATAACTCTAACTTCTTTAGAAAGTAGTGTATCGAAGGATATCTAGTTAATTATTTGACAAAAAATAAATTTAATTGTCATTTCGTGAAGTTTGATGGTTAATGTTAAAACAGAGAAAGTTTAAAGCATTGACAAGTATATATTTTGGCTTAGGATTCTGTTTGGCTCTAGCACAGGAAATTAGTCTGTTTAGATCTTGTGGGCTGCCTCTCAAACACAATAGTAAACATTATCAAAAGTACTACCCAAATGTCATTCATTCATTCAATTATATAACTGAGAAAACTTTATTGCCAGGCATGAGTTAACTGCTTTGAGGATATGAAGAGGTTGTGAGATATAGTCCTTAACTTTGGATGTTCAGGGAATTAATGAGTTTCTTTGTGGAGTCCCCTTTCTGATTCTTCACTTATTTCAGTATTATGTCTCTCACTACAAATGCATAGGGTACAAACTTGTGGATAGTCCACCAACAAC